AATGTAATTTGCAGATTTAAGCCTAAAATGATACATGTAACTGATCGATAAACCAAAATTTAATTGATATCTTGAAATATGTCGTCAAACTTCCTGAGTTAAATATATTTGGCCTAGGTGACTATGCATATTATGGAACACTGTTCAAATTCAAAGATGGTACATGTAACTTTCAAACTAGGTTACAGGATTTCGAAACAAGAATTATAACAAGACCGGATACGAAAAAATATATGTTCCTCAACTTGGGAATGCTACATGTGGACCAGTATCAACACCATGACATAAAGGCGACACATATTTAATTCCATATTTTTTTTTCTTTTAATTTCTTAGTAACTGGGTTTTATTTGGAAAAAAAAGTCCACATGCACAGGTGGAATGTATGCTAGTTTATCTGGAACTCAATTAATACTTGACCAGGACAGAAAAGAAAAAAATCCATTAATTATTAAGAAGGAGATAGAATAACCCTGAAGTTATAAAAACTGCATCTATAGATTCAAACATGTGGCATAAAACAAACCTCTATCTCTCCCTGATAAACAACATGAAAAGCAAAACAAGTACGTTCATGGACATGGGTTTTTTTTGTTGCTAGCAAGTTTAACTTTGAAGGTGACACTATCATTGAATTGATGCTAAATAAAATGTAAACGATGCAAAAAAACCAATCAATTTTTTTTTAATATTAAACATTCTACAGAATGTCTTAAAGCAAAACAAAATTGAAACAAATAAGAGGAATCTGATTCCTAGAGGTCCTAAAAAATTCCTATAGTTAACCATAGTTTACCATAGTTAACTATATTAAATACTTTGTTACTTTAATTTGCTGCAAAATCTTTACTGTAGAATTGTTTTTGTTGAGAGTTTGAAGCTAAATGATCTCTTAAATTTAAAACCGATGATGTAAAATTTGAAAAAAAATGTCAAAATATAAGTAATACTCCTATTTAATATAAGAAATATACATAAGCGAATAGGTGAACATAAAATAAAACTATCTGAAATCCGTACTAAAAAAAAAAAAAAAAAAAAAAAAAAAAAAACTTTGTACTATGGGGGAAACTTTCTATTGTGTAGTACAAACTTTGATACTATAATGAACTATAGAATATTTTTGTTAGGGGGTCTATCTATTAAAAAATAGAGGTGACCTCTAACAGAGTCCATTGGCTTCGTAATAATAAATAATAGTTAACGTGTCTACCTGTAGAGATATCCTCGAGATAAAACTAATACAAAAAAATGAAATAAAAGCATTAAAACATTTTAAGAAATAAATACAAACTTGAGGTTCTTCTTTTCAACCAGAAAACAGTGTGTAATTTAAAAGATGGCGATAGCGAACGGTGATAAATCTAATAAATCCAGTAAAAAAACGAATCGTTGAAAGGGCAAACGTATGGATATTAAAAAAGGTGGGATCAAGTGTCAATGGGTAAACAACCATGTCGTCGATCAGAAACACTTGCTTGCAAATGTGTAAGGAAAGCAGAGCAATATATCATTCATATTATTAGCTAAGGGTATTTATATATATTTTAATTTTGTCTGTATTCTAGCCTCTGATTGGTTAATATCCAAAAAGGAACACAAATTATTTCTGTATAACCTGGTTTGGTATGGGGACATACAACCCTGACAACCAGCTGAATCATCTGTATCCATACAATCCTCTCATTTCCAGTCCTCGGGACTCGTGGAAGATTCCAGATTTAATAAATGTACCTTTAACCTCAAACAATCATCCGATCTTACCACATGTAATGAAACAACAACCCAGATACCAAGCTTACGTTGGGCCAACGCAAGCCCAACGGTAAAAATTACGTTGGCCCTCTGTCAGTTTTATGCGTTGACCCAATATCATCTTGCTCATCGACCCTACGTTCAACCAACATGTTGGCTCGACGTTGGGCCAACATTCGATGGTTGGTTATCTGGCATTGGCCCAACAATGGCCCAACGTTTAACTTCCTGTTGGCCCAATGTTGGTTCAATGTTTCTTTAATGCTAAGAATAAATGTTGGACCAACGTTGGCCCTACGTTCTATAAACATGTTGGGAAATGATCGGCGATTGAATTATTTTAGTTCAACAATATGAATTCCTGTAACCTTTTTATTTCCATAATTACGAGTAAAACACAATCGATTGAATAAATCCTGCATGGTAATTAGCCTGTCCTTAAACAAATTTTATTTTTTTTTTGTCACTCCTATGGAATGAAATTAACAGAGGGAAATAAAGGTAGTTCAATGTTTTTCTTAAGTCTATTAGTTCAATGTTTTCTTAAGTTTATCACATATCTTTTCAGTCACAATATAATATTCCTCTAGAATAAGAGTCCCAGTGTTCAAATTTGTGAAACTTTGGAATGTTCTCCTGTCCATATTACTTCTGAACCATTCACTCTTTTTTTCCTGTTCATGTTATTGTTTCTTTGTCTGTAAAATCCATGTCTCTCACACTGATAATTGAGATAAATCACTCACTGTCCATTAAATTCCAAATATCAATGGTCTTGTAACACAAGGGGTTTTCTCCCCACCAGATGCTATAAATGATATAAAGATGTATCAGTTTAATTCGTTCAAAAATGATGTCCCTTACTACTTATAAGTTATAACTTACCAGATTACTAGTAAATATACATGCATATTTTGAAAATTGCAATTCTTGAATAACTTGTTCAATTTTACAACCTATGCTCGAGTTAAACTTCCACAGAGATAAAATTCTATCGATCACACCTAAAACGACTATACTTACATTCCAAGGGCTAAAACAATCCATTTTCTCTGTCTTGCCATTCAAAACGGACACGCACATGTATATGCTTTGTTAAAGTGTTGCAAGTGATAAGATGTGACCACTCCGAGTTTACGAAACAGAGCTGATTAGGATGCCTGTTTCCTAGGAAACCGGCCAGTCACCTGCTGAGCCAGTGGATTTCACCACTGACCTAATTATTTGGAGCTCTAAAATTCAGCAATTTAAGTTCCATGATGCTAAATGTAGAATCTACAAAATTATATACTGTGCAAAATAATTAAAACTTCTACATGTATTTGCAATTGATGGTTTCGGACACAAATTACAAACATAAATCAGTATTAAAAATCTTATGTTCATAAATTAGGTTCTGAAATAATTTTTCGTTTTTTATTAACACATACACTGTAAATTATTAATAAATGGGCTATTAAGATAATCCCTTGTTCATAATACTTTAAAGAGAGATGAGATGCCTATATTGAAAGAAGCTTAGTTGGTTCTAAAAGACACAAATTTAATATATGTAATTAACAGATCACCAACATGTATGTTAATGAAAGTTGTTTTAATCCCAATATTCACTCTGTTGAACCAACGCTGGGCCAACTTGAAAGCCATATCAATACCTCATTATAATCAAAATTTACTACGTTGGGCCAACATTGGACCAACATTAAATGCCCAACACATATTTCATGTGTTTCATATCAACATTACTTGGTTGGCTCAATGTTGGGCCATTTTCTTTCAATCCAACTTTGCGTCTTTTATAAGACATAAATTCCTTCATCAAGTTTATCATTTTCTTCTGATTAACAAGAGAAGACATTTCCTTTACATTTCTCTCCGGTATATGCAGGTTCACAATTCCCAAAACAGGATCCGGTCACGTGATGACACGGTTTGTAACCTTTACAGTATCCACACTGCAGTTGACATTCTTCACCACACCAGCCATTATTGCAAGCTGAAAAGTAAAAGGAATAAATAGATTAGCATTTCAGTTCTACAAACTTTAACGATACTATATACAGTGCTCCCCCGTTATAATTCCCGCAGTTATAATGCCACCCCCGCCTACCGCCAAAAAAGTCAAGTCCCGATTTCCTCGCTATATAAAACCCCGTTTTACCGTCATCCCCGCCTATCGCCATCCGCCAAGGTATTTCAGGTACAAATCTGTCCATTACCGTTATAATCACCCCCGATAATTACCGCCAATCATATCTTCGGGGAGAGAATTTCAGTGAACAGTCTTAAGCAATTATCCGCCATTAGTCTTCCAGGTATCAAAGTTTGGAGTAGATAATAAGTTACATACATAATCATTTGAGTTCAAATCTTTACTCTTCTTTTTGAAGTCTGAATATGGCTTACTCGCCGAAATCAAGGCGCATTATCTTGGAATTGAAACAAAAACTGGAAATCATTAAATATCACGAAAAAAATCCAAAGCGTTTGCAGCAAGAAATTTCAAATTATTTTACGGAACTATGGAAAATTGATGTGAAAAGACGGACTGTAGGTGATATTCTTCAAACATCGGGAAACAGAGCTAGGGAAGCTGACGATGTTTCGTTTACCCCAAGAAAACGGCATCGTTCGGCCCATCACGAAAACATGGAGGATGCTCTGTACATGTGGTTTTCGAATGTAAGGGCTAAAAATATTCCAGTGACTGACGACATCTTAAAATTAAAAGTAAAAAAATTTGGTGATGATCTTGGTGTTCACGATTTCAAATATTCAAATGGGTGGCTTAATAGGTTTAAAACCAGACATGGAATTTCCTGCCATGTTATATCTGGTGAAAGTGCAGGAATTCATCCAGATCTCATTTTTGACGGACGAGTGAAAGCTAGAGAAGCAATGTCCAACTATGATTTAAAAAACATCTTTAACACTGACGAAACTGGCCTTTTTTATAGAATCTTACCAGACAGGTCTTTGACAACAGCGGATGCTACTAAGGGTGTTAAAAAATCCAAGGACAGAATTACTGTAGCACTTGTATGTAACGCAGACGGTAGTGAAAAAATGAAGCCCTTTGTAATTGAAAAATGTTTAAAGCCAAGGTGCTTTAAAAACTTTAATCATGAACTCTATGTTGAAAATACCGCTAATAAAAAAGCGTAGATAACCTCATTAATTTTCAAAGAGTTCCTTCTGAAATTTGACAGAAAAATGCGTGTGCAAAATAGAAACTTCTACTTATAATGGACAATGCCTCGAGTCATGCTATTCCAAAATTGACAAACGTAAAAATTCACTTTCTCCCTCCTACCACCACGAGTCATTTACAACCATTAGACGCTGGAATTATTCAGGCATTTAAAGCACATTATCGAAAACTACAATTGCACTATTTAGTGGATTGTTTTGACAAAAATAATGCACCGAAAGTATTATTAAGTGAAGGTATTCGCTTTATCAAACAAACATGGGAAAGTGTAACGCCCGACACGATTAGAAATTGTTGGATCCACAGCGGGTTAGTCACGGATGAAAATCGACCTATAAATAGCACACCTGTCGACGATTATGACCTTACGGTGTCTTTGTCACAAGTTCAAGACTCGCTAGATTTGGATCCAGATATGAGGTTGACCGTCCGAGAATTTTTGAATTTGGACAAAAATGCCGAGTCCTCTCAATCACTTACTGATGACGAAATATCGTCAACCGTGGCGAACTCAAACGATAATACAGACCAGGTAGAGGACGATAGTGAAGAAGAAGCTCCGTGTGTTCCTACATACGTAGAGGCCAGACAGGGACTTGAATGTTTGTTACGGCATTTAGAATCAAAAGAATCAACAACTGAATCTGAAATAAACTTTTTACTGCGATTAGCTATTAAAATAAAACCATCAAAACAATCAACAATTGATATGTTTTTCAAAAAACAGTGATTTTCTGACAAGCATACGTAAGCTTTTATATTTGTTTATATGATATAAAGGCATTAAAATCTTGAAATACATGTAGTACATTGATAATGAATTTGTTTTCATTTATTTGTGCACGTCACTTCTCTCCCCCCGATATAACGCCACCCCCGTTATAATGCCAAAATGACCAAGGTGCAAATGTTGGCGTTATAACGGGGGATCACTGTAGTATCATATGAATACTGACTTAATGAATGATGAAGAAGTTGGTGCATGTATCTTTATTGTATCCTTCGAACAGATAGCTGGTCGTGAAATCAACGATTTCAAAACAAAATCTTTAAGAAAAATTTGATTCCATCAAAATGAATTGATAAAGTTTCATATTCCATTTCCTTTTGTTTCAAAATGGACCTTCATAGCCTGCGGCACATCCTTTAAAACATGAACCATTTATTGGATGACATTGAACTGCATTTATGCAGTGCCCACATTGAAAGCTAAACTCCTCACCATAAAATCCTCCATCACATTCTGAAATTACCAAGTTCATTTAAAAGAATAAAAATTTAATATTATAAACAATTGTGTTTTTTACACATGTTACTCTGGGTAAGATTTAAATGTGCAAGTATGCAAATATGAAGAAAAAAATCACAGTATTATACACATTTTAACGTTAACTTTTGAACAAATTAGATGTGTTCATTGATACTTTATTGAAAATTAAAAAAAAAAAAAAAGGAAAACAAATTTTCCTCATTGTTATTTATACGGTGAATGATGCTAAAAGTTTCTCTAAAATTAAGGGGGAAAACCCTTTTTTAACCAAAATATTACCTTAAACTAATATGTCGTATTAACTGTAAAATATGACAATAACTCTAATGTTTACTGCTGGTCCTGATAAGCTAAAAAATAACATCATTGTCAGTGTTTTAATGTCAAATAGCTCAATGTTCTCCGTCATTTTGAATTTTACTTTGGTTCAGGCATTACGCGAAGCACTAATATTTGCGGTGTTTTCGTGATCAAATTTGCAACTGAACCAAATACATGCAAACACACACTCATACTCAAGCTTTGTTAAAATCGCTATTTTGATACAAATATATAGTAAGATTTTACATATTGGGAAAATTTGAATTAACAGCTATTGCAACAATTACAATGTCTCCAATACATACTTATGTACATACTTAAAAAAAAAATCTCTAAACATTTTCAAATACAACGTTTAAAAAAGCATAATTTCTGAAAACAATGGTTAGAATACAAAATGTACATATATGTTAGTATCAGTATCTGCAAGTTATAGGTTTTAAACTGAGCACTTTCATAACTTTTTAGAGGATAAATTTTACAAGACTAATAAATCTACATTCAAAAGCAAGGAACTTCCGGTTTGTATAATACAATCGAACAATCTAAAAGTAAATTAGCCATAATTGTTGTCAGTTGACCGAAATACTGGAATATTTTTCACTTAAAAAAAGAAACAACACTAAAATACATTTCAAAAGGGTACATTATTCTTTCAACAAACCATCTATGCAGAGTTATTTAATGATGCTTGGCTCACAGCGCTTTCAAATCTTTAGAGACATAGTTCTTAGGTAAAGGAAAGTAACGAATCGGTGTTAAAAATTCAACTAACAATTGTACAGTTTCACGGTAGTGATCAGAAAATGGCTTGTCTTTATTCATTAATGTGTGAACTGGGGTCAAGGATATATTGTTAATGCAGGGTGAAGCCAAACATTGAGCCCTTATTGCATGTAAGAGTTATTTAAGTGTTCAGCATTGAATTCCCTTCGATGGAAACATCATCGCCCCGCTCTAACAACTCTGTTGTCGATAAAATAAAAGAAATTAGACATTTTAGAGTACTTTCTGAGAGCCCTCTCATTTTTGTTCGTTAAGTAATTTTCAGTGGTGGAAAAATGTTACTGTGGTACATGCATAAAACATGAACCGCTACTGTGGCCGGGAAATCTTTCACAGTGAAACGGCTTAAGGAAAACGCTGGAGCTACATGTACAATCCCATTACTTTTCTAGAGAAATTTAGCATAGGGTAAGATTTTCAGCACATTTTTCCTTAGATTAACAGGAGCTGTAGAGAAATGGTCAGTTATTGTCTAAATCTGGCACTAAATTCGAAATGTATGTAATTGTAGAAGTTTGTTGGCAAGAATTCCAAATGCCAATAACATATATTTTTTGGCTTAGTCATGATATTTTTCGCCTGAAGGTTATTTTCTTAATTTTTCTCGCACAACACAGTAAAGACAATTTTATTGACAGAGAGTTAACTTATGTTTCTAATAGGTCATCTTAATCTTTGTTAGTTGATTTAGATAATATCTACTATTAAATGATCAGGATTTTTATGCTTTCTGATTGGTCTAGACTCCATTTCCTGAGGTGTACCTCAGAGTGTCTTAAGCTTCACCTCAAATTGAAGTTCCAGGAAGTTTTTTTCGGTTTCTCTTCTTGACCTACCATAGATTTGCCTACATTTTTTTTTCGAACAAATTGCGCGTTTTAAGGCTTGTGTCGTTGAAAATATTAAAATGGCAGACGCTTATAAAGGAGATTTAACTCCCTTTATAGTAGATGGTTGGGAATTTCTTGTTTTATAATATTGTTGTCAACTTTTAAACGATTGTTTATCTGTGAAAATATATTTTATAATATGTTGTTACACTATACATTATATTATGAGTGATTATAATCACTTCATCCTAGGTCAACCAATACCTCACCAGGTCCATATAACAACCAGTAGACCTCATCAAAAGACAAATATTGTATAAAAACCAAAGATAGCAGAGAATAAAGGTAGAATATAAAAAAATGATATAATAATTAAAAGTCCATTTAAAAGATGTACCTTCATGACAAAATTCTCCTTTCCAACCAGGATAACAACCATTTTCACAAATACTGTTTGTTCTGTTACATCCTTTACATGTATCGTAACACCTGTTGAAACAATCTTTTCCAAAGTATCCATCTGTGCAACCTGAAAAATAAGAACATTTCTTTCATCAACTTTCATCAATGAATTGCTTTTGAATAGCTTAGCATTCGAATTGGCAACTTTTATTAATACCAGATTCTCTCTAAAAATAATGCTAAAGGAAAGATCATTTTTAAACCGCAATTGATAATTTTCATTCAATGTCCTTAAAAAGTTTGTCCACCCATCGCATATGCCCGGAGTGTGCTGACTTTAGATTAATAAGGAATTTATACCTTTCTGGCAGAACTCTCCTTTCCAATGACATCCATTGTCACAAGCGCCACTTGTGTTGTTGCATCCTTTACATGAATCGGCACAGCTATGTGCACAATTTTCTCCATAAAAACCAACTTCACATACTAAAAATTAAGAAGAATTATAATAAACTAAACACTCAAAGGAAAAGATTCTGAATAATCAGGTGATTGGGAATTCTTACTACAGGTATGGCTTGGTATTTTATTTAGTTTGATATATGCAATAATTCTTCACAGAGCCGAACACATATCATGACCTTTCCAAAACTATGCTATAAAATAGTATAAAAGTTGAAAAAAAAAATGAATTGTTTTGGTCATATTTAGTCAAGATTTCAAATTAAAAAAAAGGATTCCCCAAGTGTGATTGAAATATCTGACTAGAGTTCAAAATGTCATTTAACCGTTCACGGTAGTTAGTCGGTAGAGTGCTCGCTCCGTGATCTGGAGGTCGTGAGTTCGAATCTCGGCTGCGACTGACCTAAGTCGATAAAAAATGGGAAGCAACTGTTCCTTCACCATGCGCTCAGCACTTTGAAGTAAAAGTTGTGGGTCCTTTGGATGACACCTTAAAAGCCGAGGTCCCATGTCACGGCATGCGTTGGCACGATAAAGATCCCTCACTGCTCAATGGCCCTGAGTGCCGAGTAAAGGCCAAATTTGAAGCCCTTCACGGTATTGATGATATCTCCACATGAGTGAAAAATTCTCGAATGGGACGTAAAACAACATTTAATTAATCAAAATGTCATTGATTTCAATTTTTAACTAGAATTCCTACATCAAAACTAGTTTCATTCGTATCCATCATTTTTGAAAAACATAATAACCTTTGATTTTACGTCTAATTGTATTAATATTAAATGATGTTCAAATTCAAGTTTGCTTAGACAACTAGATATCAACAAAGCTGATTACGGGATCTCAAAATTGTTATTAGTGCCTAGGAATCTGTTCTTGTGAATTCATTCAAAATATATAACTTTAAAGAAAAATATTTAAAAAAAAGACATGAGAGAATGTTCAACAACATTGCATTTTGAGAAAAAAAAAATCGCGATCTTATATAAATTCTATAATTTACTTGTTAAAATTATATTTGAGAGACTGCAAGCTGAATTATTTGCTGGTTAATTGCTTTATAAAAGGAAATAATGAATTTGTTTGCAAGATATCAAACGGATTGCAACAGTTTTATATCTTAATACATTAAGACACTAAGGGTAAAAGGTTATCGGGATCCATCGAATGCATAACCCTTTCATTTGTCGATTTATTAATACCTCGTGTTATATTCCAATGTTTTGCACACAAAACTACGGCAGGATAAATCAATTAATTAGTGAATGTACGGAAAATATATGAATAAAATAAGAGAAAGCCATTGCATCCAAGATATTGGTCTCTCCAATGACTGAAAACAAAACAGTATTGAGAAGAGTAAGTTCTGATGTTGTTTAAATGTTCTACTAATGTTGAAATACTGATGAGATTGTTGATATCACTGTAACATCGAATTATTTGTTAGTATTTTGCCTTGGTTTAAAAACTGATCCTACTAGGAGCATGCTGTTGTTCAATAGGCTGGGGAACTTAAACACCATATGCAGTTAATACATGTAGTGGAATATTACGACATAAATAAATAAAGTTGTCGATGAAATAAATGTCATCTCGCTTATCATGCAGTTTAGTTTTAAGGTAACAATTATCGCCTTTAGTCAACAAAACCTTTAA